ACCACGGCCTCTTAAGCTATGGAAATAACTAATCTTTGGCGGCCATTTTCTCACTAACTTTACCTCTGAAAACAGGTGACCCCACCTCCTTCATTCGCAAATATCCCAACTTGCATTCAAGATAAATGGATATTTTTTCCCTCCAAATAAAGACAAGTGAACTCGCTTTAAGATGATACCAATAACTCTCCACGCCCAAAAATTGACGAGAGCCTGATTCCACCACGCTGCCTCACAAATTGAATACAAGCAATGATAGTACATAACAAGATGGGCCACTTCTCTCTTTGAGCCAATTAAAAAAGTGTCCTCAAAATTTGGTGGCGCCCTCTTCACAAAAGCGCACTCTTTGCGAACAGAGTTACCCTACTTGAGTTTTTAAAAATCAAAGTGAAACTAGCATGTTTTGGGATAAATTTCGGAAGAACGCTTTTTTTAAATGGTTACGCTGACAAAAAACCTTTTCCGGAGGAAAGGGTGATGTTTTTCTTCGTTTAATTTGACTTTAGAATGAAAGGCGAGAGGTCATTAAAATAAAAAAAAAACCTAAAACTACGCACTGAACGTACCCGAACTGCTGATGAACAGCAGTCGATCTGCGCACGCACGAAGGTGCTATTCCTATTCTTCTTCTGGAAAAACGAAAGAGAGCTTCAAAACAGACTGCAGCGCCATCTGAAGCAAAGAGCATACTTCCTGCGGACACTTTTTTGGCTGAGTGAACCATCTTGTTATGTACTATCTTTGATACAAGTAATCGAAAGTTCTTGGCTACGACTCATTCTACAGGTTTCAGGCTTTTGGGCACGGCAACAGAATGTGTCCTGGTGAGGGATTTGCAAGATCCCGTATCTTTCTGTTCACGGTGATGATCCTCCAGAAATTTGACCTCCTTCCTCCGGAGAACGAACCTCTACCATCCTGTGACCCGAGAGACAACTTGAAGGGCGGGGTGAGACAGGCACCACCGTTCAAGTGCAGACTGCGGAATCGTAGCGAACAGTGACTTCCCGGGCTTTCCTGAACTTCTTACAACGAGAAGAATAGGCTATTATTATTACGCTTTCGAATATTTGTGTTACTGTTAACTCCGCTTTCGTATTTTTCGCTGATTGACTTCACACTTCACATTCACATTGCCCCCACACTGACGTTAAGTTTTGATAGCGTCCTTAGACTTGAATTATATATATATATATATATATATATATATATATATATATATATTGGACTTGAATTATATATATATACATATATAACGATATATATAGGATGTCCTAGACCGGGCATGTCATGACGTCGCTCTTTGCGCTCTGTAAAATTGCCACTGCGCTAGTGGGCACCTCAAGCGCGCATTTGAAAAAAAAAAGGGGGGGGGGGAATCGGGCTACTATCGAGTGCGTTCACAACCTTCCTCTCATTGCCCTTCAGTTGGTTCCAAATTAGAGTCAAATGTTAATGTTACGCTCTATCCATGGCGAACCGGAATTAGATCTATGTCAGAGTACACAGTTTAGATAATATTATAAGGCAAAGCTATGATAATATAATCTTAGTGTGGCATATAGAGCGCAACAGATATTCTGTAGCACTTTGTACTTTTTGTTTGCTCTGATTTAAAGGTTTACCCAAGACTTGTCTGAAAAAACATTATAGTTACTGTCGTTGTTGTTCGACGTAGATCTACTATTTTATCGCTATTGTTTAATAAACTCTTTTTCTTCTATTGAAAGGAAAACTACATCATCACATGCACGCAGAGATAGGCCTAATATACCCATAAATCCACGCACATATTATATTTACACTTTCGTCTGCACATTTTTAACATATTATTAAACAAGTGTATAATGTTATTATATGTATGTGCTTCTAATCATATTTATTATGCCTTACATTATAATAGCCCTGATAGTAGTACTGTTTAAGAACATAATTTATGTATTCACAAATAAATATTTTAGTGGTGAAAGGCGGAAAGGTTGGTACGCTATTCCAGTGGTGGGAAACAAACACATTTTAAAGTTTTAGTAGAGGTTTTACGGCACTCGCAACTGCATAAGGTCATATGAGCGCAAGAAGATTAGAGGTGTTACAAGAGAGTAACAAACATAAAAAAGAAGAAGGGGAGATAAGGACGATAGATCTTTGATAGAAAAGAAGAAGTAAACACACCAGAGCACCCGCCAACAACCCACATGAAACAAACACAGCTTTGGTTTTGTTTTGGTTTAACAACAACAACAACAACAACAACAACAACAACAACAACAACAACAACAACAA